CCCCAAAACCCCAAAACCCCAAAACCCCAAAACCCCAGAAGGGATGCAGTCGATTGAAATATTTATTATTAACTAACCAAGAGATGTCTGAAAGCCCAAATCTACATAATATTTCTGCCAAAAATCCTTCTATTTTTAAGTAAGCCCTAGGAAACAGGTTTAGGAGGGGGTTATAATGATATTTGTCAATTTTATGATACCGAAATGCATTGATCTTAGCTTTTAAAACGAGTTGTACTAATTCCCACTTAAATAGATATTAACTTACTCTCTTTACCATCTACAAGCTCTAATAGAGTATAGGCTTCTCAAATTATGGAACCGGACCATCGATGAGACAGATTCAGACTCATCCCTTCACAAGTAAGTTATGAATTGAACATCCATTCTATTAGAAGTTAGATCATAAGAGTTATGCCAGTTTTTATAACACAAAATTGTCATTTTGACAATATTCTCATTACTACTCAAACTTTGGTTAGGCAAGGTCCATCATTAGCACTAAGGCTCCAGCCATGCCATGAGTTGGCCAAAATTAAGCAACCAAGATTCGTTTCAGATTTTCTCAACTTTTTGTATAGAATGTCAAGAGACGAGCCATCAAGAGATATTTCAGCCAAAATAATCAGACTCGATACAAGAGAGTTCAAGATATATGACTCCAATCGGGTTTTGAAGGTACTCCATCTCTTTTTAAGACTATCAGTTCTATTTAAAGGGATAATATATTTGAAACTTGTTATCAAAATTAAAACCTCAAGAGAACTATTCGGCTTATATAAGCCAAGTTTTGGCTATTGATGCTCGTATAGATAACCTCAGCGAGGAGAATAGCATGTAGCTATCTTTGGACCCAAACCAAGATGTCTCATCGCAAAGATAAAACATAACTATTAGTAATGAGGTTTTATTAGTAATACCATCTTAGTTTACTCTTATGATAAAATAGATAGGAGAAATGGATAGTAGTAAAAAGACACTGTCTTCCTCTTTGTGTTTCATGGATCAAAAACATTTCTAACAACTGAGATCTACTTGGAAATAACTATTTAGAGTAGCCTACTTCTCTTAAGAATCTTCTCTCTGTTTTCAGTTTTAAAGGTAATGACAAGAGTAACTTCATATTACCAATGCAATATTTGTTGATAGAAAAGTAATCACAAAGCCGAAGCTTGAAACTGAGAGTATACCAAGCTTGATCATATTTTAATAGCATTCGTAGTAAGGATGACAATATCTGTCTCTGTCACTGCTTTAGTGAAATATCCAAAGCTATAAGACTATTCCCCATTTTGATAATTCTGATTTCCGCTCGAGTTTCAGCAATCAATTTTGTAGAAAATGTTAGGTTATTCCAGTCACACTTTACTTTAGTAATCTTCATGTGGTTTATTATTTCTCATTGTTTCGAAGGGACAGGCACATAAAATTCAGGATGGTTGAAACTATTCAGGCAGCTGTATCAATGCTCATAAAGCCGTTTTTATTACTCTTAAAAGAGTTTTAGAGACTCGATACTAAAAGTTGTAAATTATATGAGAAATATCTACTAAATCTTTTAATTTTTTGACAAGACTTTAGCCCAGCATCTCAGTTCTTCATTTTTTTATGTGATTAGGCCCTCATTACTCTAGTTGAGTATATTGGAACAACTCTATGTTGACATTTTAAGTTTTATTTTAGCACAAAACTTTACTAATACCCTCAACTTGGATAACTTGGAAAAACTACATTAGCAGGCTGATACAAGTAAAGGAGCATCGATAATATTAGTGAAGCCTTATAAAAGTCATTTTAACCAAGCAAGAGCTTCTTGAGCGATACTTTTTGTTTCCCAATCTCAGCCTTTAAAATTAAAGAGTGTAAATTAGGAGTATAAACTATTATCTTCCAAAAAGTTTATGCTATTGTCAACGCATTTTTATAGATTATTGTCTCAAATTCAAAGGCTTATCTTAATAAATATAGGATAACTACAAGCTATCAAGGAACAGAGGAGTAATCTCTTCAACAGTAAAGGGAGTCAAGAAGAGGATCAAAAGCAACTGTAACCTGCCAGCTGTGAAGACATTTCAAAAGCCTCTGCCACCACCTTCTGGACCGTGTCAAGATATTTCTTCTATCAAAGGTAGACATTTAGTAAAAATTTAGATTCTTTTCATAATGGGTCAACGAAGAGTATCATTAACTTGAAGGAATGCTCAAGATACTCAAAGCTCGGCAACCAGAAGTATGACACAAAAGGGATTGTTCATTTCAATAACTGTGATCACAATGTGGTATGATAATTTTACCAAACATTAGTTTATCTGGATACTTCTGAGAAGACTTTCAACAACTTTCTAACTCTCTGACATAGATCAGAAGCTCACTAAGAGCCAAAGGATATGGAGCCTTGAAAACGTTGCAAGAGCAAGGCTCTTTGTTTACCATCGCAAAGCCTCAGCCTTATAAGACCAAGAGTAAAGTGACTTTTCAGTTAAAAAAACCATCCATAATTTCCATCAATAGTGAAGAGTATGTGTGCTTTAATCCCTTTAGTAACCAAGAAATCAAATAAAGATATGGTTGAATACTTCAAACAGAGTAAGTTATTGATTACCGATTAGGGCTGAGAAACCACAGGAAGAAGAGACCCTCCAGGTTCAAATTCTATAAAAAACGGAAAGCGAGCCAGATGGCAATAGCCAAACTAGCTTTCAAGGATGCCAAAAGCAAGGCCAGACTTGCAATGTCTGATAAGACTCTAGACAAGTTTGTCAACAGGCTTGTTGACTAATATATTAATTTACTCATCAGATCCTACTTTTTGATAAAAACTTTAGTGAAAAGACAACCCTTTAACGATATATCTTGGGTTTGTGCATGTATCTTAGAATTGATTAGGGAGTTCGTCAAAATATCCCTTCACCAAGTCAGCAATGCTCTGACCTTTGTGTCTAATAGCCACCTCCATTTTAACTTCTATGCTAATAAACTGTTTCAACCCAAAGATTTCTCTGTGGGGTTTTGGGGTTTTGGGGTTTTGGGGTTTTGGGG